AAAAGATCAAAAAGTATTCATTGACATGTGCTTAGTGTAAATCAAAACCCAATCGATTTTCGATTTGCCTACAAAATTAACCAAATCAACATTCCACAAGAATCCCGGTAAATGGGGGTTATACTTAACGTCACCCACCTTCGTCAGGAGTGTGGACCATGTACTCATAGTGAGGAGGTCTCTCCACCGGATCTTCCTCCGGCACGTCCGGTAGGTCCGTCTCACTCAACTCTGGTTCCTTTCCGACAAACATCCTCATCTTACCCGCAATTCCTCCAGCTCCTGGGGAGGGGAGGGTTTCACATTTTTGACATAATCAACATTTTCAACAAATTTTGTAGGTGCTAAAATAATACTGTTTTGAATTAAATGCATCATGGTGTAGGTCTGTACTTGTATGATGCATTATTTTATTTTTGTAAAAATTTTATTTGTGCTTGGATTAAAAACCTTATTTTGGAGCTCTATCAATTGTATATTTAAGTAAACTGGGTGGGAATTTAGAGCCATAAGTGGCAGTGCGACAATTTGGACAATAGTCGCATTTACATACATTTATTGTTAATTGTTAAGTGCACTCTAGACAGAAGTCATACATTGCCTTTGTTTGTATAAGCTATTTTAGTAAATATGTAGGTGCTTTGCTTGTACATTGTCTTCCCTCACTTTACATCTTGATGCTTATTCACTTAACACTCAGAACCACTACTTTATAAAGGTTATATGGAGGAAGATGACTTTCTCGGTCACAACCAGTTTCTAATCTACAACAAATCCTACCACCGAGCACGACTAGCACAATGGGGTCCCGGTCACACGGTGGTGGGCACATATGAACACGGTCTGAATCCAAACCAACTGTGGACCTTGGAGGCACACCCTTATAGGCCGGGGACTTATTACGTTGTAAATGAGAGGAACCCCCAACACAGACTAGCTAACCATAAACACAACTTTATCGTGTACAACGGTCCTCACTTCAATGATCAGCTCTTTAGGTTTGTGAGTAACGATGACGGGTACTATTCCATCCAGAGTGCTCACTATCCAGAGGATTGGCTTACCAAACATGGAGTTGAGAATAGCCAGGTCTCTTTCAGAGAGTTCGACGGAGGAGACGATCAGTTGTGGCGACTTGTCCCCCGGTTCCATGCTCGGTTGTACGACCGGGAAGTGTTTCACTTCGACAACAGACAAGGTAGCAACCCCATTGTACGTGAGATATCCGTTACCACAGGGGTCCGACGAACCTCCACCTCCTCAATTAATAACCAGACTACTTACAAGAAATCTATATCTGCTGCTCTAGAGTTAGCTGTTGAGGTGTTGGATCTGGGTGTTCGTCAAGCAATAGAGTACGAGAACGAACTACAGACATCATTCTCTCAGGACGTTGAACAGTGCTGGTCTCAGACGGAGAATATAACATTCACTGTTCCCCCGAGAAAGAACTTTAAGGTTGTTCAGAGAGGTGTGAAGTTTGAGGGACAACTTGCAGCGGATACCTGTGTTCTGCTGACTAATATCCAGGTGTTTGAGAGCGAATCTTTACAGTTTGATGAGTCAGAATATTTATCTGACTAGATATTGCGCTCTGAATTTGACACTGAAACTCGGACAGTACGGCGAACATGTGAGGAATATTTGTTAAAACTGAAGAATGTGCTGTCTGCATGATGCATGATGCAATGTAGAGACAAATTAGGGTTGAAATATAAGTATTTAGACAAACTAACCGGAACCTTTATTTTAGGCTACAATGAAACTTTTGAGTCAGTTAACCTAATTAAACTCACAAGCTCAGATGATTGGTGTTGAAATGATGAATATTACCAATTATCATGTTAATGTTGTTAATTTTCATCAATATTTGATTCCCAGATATCGCAAGGCATCAAAATACAAGTGCTGTATTACAAAGCACATTGCCAATAGTTAATAATAAAGTATATTATATGTACTATACTTATTACTCTATTGCAATGCTCTTAGATGATGTTTACGAAGGCTTAACTTTATTGCTATGCTCCTTCATCAAGATAATCAATGCACAACTTACCAAGACCATCGCCAGGAACCCCAAAGGTAGGAGCTTCGAAAGATAGACCGCCAACTGATTGGTAACAAATGATTAATTTCTGTAGATACTGTACTTAAATGTCTGGAGATCTATTTCTAGCAAGGTTTGGACACGGGGAACTGCTTTAAAGGAAGATGCTTCTGGATATGATGCTAAGGTTGCTGTTGTATGCCAAGGATTTCTAATTTATCTAATTAATTGCTGCTGTGAGTACAGTATTACTGTGCCTTGTATTCTTTGGATCATTGTAGAATGTAGATGTGTCCTGTTTGTTAAGATGGGATGTGCCAATTTTTGTCATCATCATGCTAAAAATACAGGTAATGATTTTGGTTACCTCGAAGATTCATCCATTCAGTAACTTTCCATCAGTTATCAACGACAATTGGATCCTATCAAATACCCTTCGAGGTAAGTACAAGAAATGTGGGGTAACTTTACCAAACCGGTTAACCAACAATCAACATTTACACTTGATTTACATACACTAAGGTTGTAAGTTTCAGTTTGTTGTAAGTTTTCAGTTATAGTATTATAATAAACTCACTCTTTGTTCGTTTGGGACGTTTCTTCGGTAGACCTATTTCAGTCATCTTTGGATTACCATCCTCGTCAATGCCTGAGATTTTAAATCTGATTTAAAATTTGGAAGTCTTACCAACAATATTATAATATGTGGGATTCTCAAATATATCAACTTTATTTTGGTTATCCATTTTCTCCTGAATAGGCGACCAAACCTAATCGGTAATTCTAGCATTGAGACGTTAAACAATAAATGCAACAGCCAACTAACCATGAAGAGGATTAAGAAATTGGTGAACTTGACATATGATCTTATAAAGATCGATCAATAACGTGAAACTATTCAGGAAATGATGACAAATTTCTGACATTGTGAATATCGATTCCGAAGAAATTGAGAAATCAGAATTAATGCTGCTGCAATATAGCACTTGTCTATCATTTTCGATATACTTTACTGATTATTTTGATTCGATAAGGATGGCATTATCGTTTTATTTTTTAATAATCAGTTCACAGTTTTTTTATATCTAAATAACATATATATAATAAACACATTACGAATATAATTACACCTGTAATTAGGCCTGTTATCAGCTAATCACTCATCGAATAATTAATTTCTTATTGAATAGTTATTAAGATAACTCACTGTATTCACTCTCTGCACCGCTGTCCTCATGTTCCGACCCTTCCATGAAATCTTTACCTTTTCCTCGAATTTTACCGAAAATCGATTCTGTTAAATGCAAAACAAGTCAGCTAAATCTCAAAAATATAAAAATGTTTGACTCATGATTAACTTATTGCTTAAAATTAGTATCTAAATTAGAATTCTAAGTGCAAATATACCCTTGTATGCATTTAAGCATGAAAGTGATAGTGATTCGTGCATCGTGATTCGTGCATCGTGCATCGTGCTATGTGCATTGTGCATTTTATATTTTATATATTGTATTTGCACCGGGCAGTGTGTCGTGGCAATTCTGGATATGGTTCTTTTGAAGCAGTACCTAGTCCAAACCGAGTGTAGAAAACTCTACAGTTATAAAATAAATTACAAATTTTAAATATTGAAATTGAAATAATAAATTACGGAACGAATTTCACGCTAAAGTTTCACAGAAACATAAATTTAAATTGAAATAAACTTACTATCTGACTCTTTGTTTTTGGCATCGAGTTGCTCTTGTCTGAGTGCTTCCAACGCTTTCTTTATCCTGACTAGATCGAAGTTCTGTTCATTGTTAGTGGCTGACTCTTTTTCTAGTTCCATACTCGTGTTTTTAATTTCGTCTTTCTGAAAGTAGGGAAGACATTAAAAGTTTATAATCGAAAGTGACACTGACATCAAGAGCCGATGGACCAGGACAACAGCTGTTTTCCAAGGAGGCCCAAAGTATCTATATTATATCTCAAATTCTACAACCGGTACGGCTCTGCACACATGATATCTCTCTCTGCCATGAAACATGGCTAACCTCTTAAACTATGATTTAAAACTTCAACCTTAAAACTAAAACTCAACTGGGCACTCCTGTGTCACCAAACTAGACAAATAAGTAATTTTAGATTATTATATTTTTCTATATTTGTATAATAAGTATATTGACGTAGTGGATGATTGAGGGGGTTTCAAGCACAGGTCACTCTCAAATCCAAAGATAAGCAGTGGCCTTCGGCACTTGAAACCTCTTCAAACCTCCCCTGATTTATTTATTATTGATATTGTTTGATTGTGCCGTAAAAATAAATATTTTTGTATTACATTTTTATTTTATTATTGGATTACCGGTTTCAGCCCTAGGTCAAGAGCTGTAGAACCGAAAGATTAAAATATATGTTGCTATAAAAAATCGATTTTGAGAGATAAGGAAGTGTTTATAGGTTCTGAAACCTAGCTAAATCGGTTTTTGTGCAATTTTAGGTCAGAAACGGTCATCAAAATGAGTTAATAAGAAGGTCGATTTCTCGGTTATTTTTGAGCTTTCCTTCAGAAAATAATTCGGGCCCTAACAAGAAGGCGTTACAAGCGTCTCTTCATCCTCCTGAACATGTATTCGTTCTAAAATGTAAACAACAAATTATCACCTCCTCAGCCTCCTGAACATGTACTCACTATTAAAGTAAACAAACAATTATCACCTCCCCGCCAGTATCCACATCTATTTATTGAATAATAATTATTACGGTATTTCCTGTTGTGAAGGTAAAAAACACTTACCACCACTCCAAATTCTTCGTCCACTCTGGCCGTTTCATCAGAGACCCTTGTGTTCGTCTCAGCAAACTGTTTAGCACTGCTCTCCTGGTGGCTCTTTAACTCTTCGTCTACCTCTTGGAGCTGGTAAACAGAATTTATGCAAAAAATCGAATGAAGAAAATTTGATGCAACGTTCGCATAATAAAAAAAACCAGGCTTCACTTTGGGATGATATCCAAAATTAGCGTGACTTGATGTGCAGACTGCAGAGAAACTTTATCTACCAGAGATGAACCGATCAAGTTTTCTACCTGGACGAATGTTTCGTTGAGTTCTCGTTTTATCTTGTCAGTTCTGACTCCCAATTCGCCCAGCTTGTCCTCGTGTTCTTGTATTGTTTCACTCATTCCGTTTTGCTGACGGGCATATTGTTTTAATAAATTAACAAATAAAATAATTGATAAGCAGTGATCAATCATTTATAATTTATTTTAATGACAGATGAATATTTCTATTTAGAGACCCATGGAATAAAAGAATAATAAAATACCTCTCTGGACAGGCGCTCGTGTTTCCTCATAAGTTCTTTGGTTGATATGTCAACTTCCATCCGGAATGCTTTCTTCAATTCCTTTCTAACATTCTCTCCTGTTTCCTCTATCTATAGCAATGGAAAGCAATGAAGAAATGGTCCACTAAAATGTTAATGAATAATCATCAAATCAATGCATACATTTAACAAACCTTCAAGTTCAAAAATGGTTACATCTCACCAATTGAGTGGTATCAGTTTGGAACGCTGTCATCTTATCCATGAGCTGCTTTTGCTCCCTCTCCAGTCTGATAAGATGATCTCTCTGTTTCAAAACCCTTTCTTTTAATCTCACTGTCTCCTCCCATCTCCTCTCTTTCTGCATCGCCTGTGTAAGTTATTTTATGAGTTAACGTTATGTGGAAATTCAATTGTTCTAACTAAACTCCGCTCAAATTTAGATATAAGTAAGATTAAGTGTCGTTGTTGTTTTCTAATTTGTGTCAATCCTTACCTCTTCGTAATCGGTGAGGCAGCAGTTAAATAGTTCCCCCGCCCTCTGACACATCTGGCCGTACGTGAAGAAACAACGCTGTCCACATCCCATATCATCGGGGTCGATCTTACCAGCTGAAAGTATTTTAACTTGTTATCAGGTTACTCATTTTCTTATGAGAATTTGTTAGGACACAAGGTCTGATAAGGTAGTTTAACTACTTGATATCCGAAAAAATCCAAGATAATTTTATCCGTAGAGGACGTTCTCGCGTGAGGACCCCCTCGAGAGGATTGTCTGTCGAAAAGAAGTAGCACTAGCAGTCTACACAACTGTAACGCATATTTAAATAACATTTTGTTTGAGGGTGGAGATCAAATGCTTGTGTGCAGACCGTTCCTGCTTTTTTAAAATGGTCTTAAACAAGTTTACATATTTATATAGCAACCTTCAATCTCAGCTAGCTTATCAGCCTCATCCTTCTCCTTATCTGACATCCGCTTAACAGACGCCATAACGATAGTAAAGTATCCACTTCACCGTACACTTGGCGAAACTTGACGACGATGATGACTACACTTGACTACAGAACTTGACTACATATCACGATATATTACGCTGAACAGTTACACAAACACAACAAGCAAACAATAAAGAATAAGCGTATCATCCTAACATCTACATGTACCATGTTTCCGTGATCGGCTGTCAGAAAATTACATGAAACGATCTGCTGATAACATTTTCTATAGAATTGGGTGTACTGGTGAATATGATGTCAAATACTCATGTAAGTAAACTAAAAAGCTTAGTATGAACATTGAACAAACAGGGCCAGCAGCGCAACCAAATACATTAACCATAACATAAAGAATAAAACTCAGTTTATCATCAAAAACATGTGTTCATCATAAGTAAAGCACAATTTTTACAGAGAAATTCAGATATTTTTACTTACGATCATCCTTGACCTTAGCAGGCATCAGGTCCACAAATTCAGTCAAAAATCAGGAAAAGTCACACCGATCTCTCTTATCTCAATCCTGGTGTGAACAAACAGACGATAAGAAAGTGGAAAGTGAGATGATACACAAGAGAGCTTACTTTTACACAGGGACCTCAACACTTAAATACACGACAAGCTATTATAATTATACCTGAAGTGAGGCGGTTGCCTGTTATCAAACATTGTAAGTTTGTAACGTGAATGGTGGATTTAGGGTCCCCCTAAATAAATCTCATCCATATTATAAGGGGGCAAGGAAATTGAAGGTGTGGCACAAAATCGGGGAAAGGAAAAAATTCGTGCAGCAGCAAAATCAGCATAAAATCTGTATCAATTAGATCTGGATACTAGTGGATACTGGAGAGGTGAACCAGTTTCGTTTTGAAAAGTGGGTTTGATTGTTTAATGATGGTCACGTGTCAGATCAAATAATATGGTTCACATTCCCACTAGTATCTGGTATCCACATCTATTCATGAGTATTATTTATTCAATAAAAAATATATGTACTTACAATTTTGATCCGGCCAAAATTAACTCTGTCCAATGTCCACCAGGAAACAAATCGTATATAACTACTGGTTGGACTTCTGTTATCTCATTCTTTTTTTGGAATAATATCGAATAACGATTGTCTAAAACTAGAATTATTATATTTATAGCTCAATTGATTAGGTACGATTAAATTGGATTTATCAATAAGTTTGACTAACTTACCTGCCACTCAGCCGTGTAGAATGTAGAATGTAGAATGTAGATGCGACTATAATAAACTGATCTAACTATACCCCTACCCTAGTAAGATGTTAGAAAGATCAGCTGTTATAGTCGCGTTCCAAATATAATAAAAACTTACTTATTTTAGAGCAAATCTGGCCCCCGTTTTGGAAAACAAACTGATTTCCTTGGCAAGTCCCAATGAGACTCCCTCCAATTTGGGAAATATGTTTTCTCTGACATTTGAAAGTGACGTGTGATCCTTCAGTCACCGGTAGTGGCGGTTCTGGTCCGGTTATTTTCATCATTTCATCGAAATTATCACAGAGTGCTGAAATAGTAGATGGCGATATGATGAATGAATTAATTTTTCCCACTAAATTCACAAATTCATGTAAATTTTGTTGATTTAATAGCTCTATGTCATTGTCACTGTGTTTGGTAATTATTAAGTTAAAGCTCGTAATATTTACATTTGCAGTCGTCTTCCTTGGTTCCTTCGCCTGCAGCTACTCCTCCTGTTTTCTCCGGACATGGGGTACATTTTGTAGTTGTATCTCCTGAACTCCACTCATTCTCTGCACAGTCTAAACAACCTGCTACCTGGTCAAGGTACTGACCACCAGCACACGATTCTGAAGATATTATTTCATCAATAAAATGTGTTTGTATTGGATAACATTTTGAAGAACATGTATATCGATAATCAATGTAAATGTTGAGGACGTAAAATCGACTTATGAAATCGCTCACTCCATGTGCAATCACTTTCTTGTTTTCCCTGTCCAGCTTTCACTCCTTTCCCTGACGGGCAGTCAGCGCACGTGGCAACGGTATTTCCTTCCGAGCTCCACTGATCTGGCGGACAATTTGAACAACCACGACTCTGATCGAAGAGTTGTCCAGCACTACACGGCTCGCGATCTGCGAGAATGATTTTAACCCGTGGTCCAACTATGTTGCCAATAGTTATATATTTTACTGTCTTCAAAACACTGGGGCTATGCACTGTTACGTGACTGTTTGCTTGCACATTCGATAAATCAAGAAATGTTGCTGTATCTAGCAATAAATTTCGTTGTGATAACAAAAAAGAGGTGAACTTACTCCATGGGCAGTCATTTTCTTGTTTTCCCTGTCCAGCTGACACACCTTTTCCTTGTGGACAAGCTGTACAAGATGGACTTGTATTTCCAGCAACACTCCACTCATCAGCCGGACATTTCACACAACCGTTACTCTGATGAAGGAACTGTCCTGCAGCACACGGCTCTGAAAAGAAGGATGGAAATTTTTGTTAATTTTTTAAAGATCGTGATTTACAACTTCCAGTATTTGTTCCTCTTCAAGAAACTCGACAACCAATAATTCAGAGGCTTCAAGAAATTAGGATTTCACACTGTTCTAACAGAAGTTAATTGAAAAAAGTTTTGATTACAATTACAACAGAAGAACTGATCTTACCCCAAGTGCAATCACTTTCTTTTTTCCCTTCTCCAGCTGCCACCCCTTTCCCTGAAGGACATGTCTGGCAAGTAGCAGCGTTATTTTCATCCGAACTCCACTGATTCTCCGGGCAGTTGACACAACCGTCAACCTGGTCAAGACGTTGTCCTGCAGCACATGATTCTGAAAAGAACAAGGATGTATAATTATTATTGTTTTCAGCTAATGATTGTCAATCAATTTTAAATCGTTGAGAATGTTTTTACATGTAATTGCTTTCAAGATTGAGCTTATACAGCGAAATACGCTAGTGTCTCAACATAAGACTTGTTCATGTTGTTATCAATGTAAATGTTGAGGACGTAAAATCGCTCACTCCATGTGCAATCACTTTCTTGTTTTCCCTGTCCAGCTTCCACTCCTTTCCCTGACGGGCAGTCAGCGCACGTGGCAACGTTATTTCCTTCCGAGCTCCACTGATCTGGCGGACAATTTGAACAACCACGATTCTGATCGAGGAGCTGTCCAGCACTACACGGCTCGCGATCTGCGAGAATGATGGTAACCCGTGGTCCAACTATGTTGCCAATAGTTACATATTTTTTTGTATTCAAAACACTGGGGCTATGCACTGTTACGTGACTGTTTGCTTGCAAATTCGATAAATCAAGAAATGTTGCTGTATCTAGCAATAAATTTCGTTGTGATAAAAAAGAGGTGAACTTACTCCATGTGCAGTCATTTTCTTGTTTTCCCTGTCCAGCTGACACACCTTTTCCTTGTGGACAAGCTGTACAAGATGGACTAGTATTTCCAGCAACACTCCACTTATCAGCCGGACAGTTTACACAACCGTTACTCTGATGAAGGAACTGTCCTGCAGCACATGATTCTGAAAATAACAAGGATGTATAATTATTATTGTTTTCAGCTAAAGATTGTCAATCAATTTTAAATCTTGTTTTCAAGATTGAGCTTATTGAGCGAAATATGCTAGTGTCTCAAGATAAGACTTGTTGCAGAAAATAAAGGTGTCCTCTACAGTATTTAATACACCTGTAAATTGTAAAATTATTTATTCACCTGGTTTTTCACAACACTGAAGCGAAACACCATTGAGAGCCGTGTTATCATCCCCACCATTTTGATTTCCCTCGATCCTGGTTTTAATTCCACAAATGACTTGATCTGCTGGACACGAGAGTTTGCCCTGGTAATTACCCCATCTACCACCACCAACCTTGTAAGGATCATTACCACTGCTACTGCAATATAACTTTAAAGCGTTACCAGCAGTGTCGTCGTATGTCCGCGGGCCTTCAAGCTTGAAATCTGCAGCGTTGAATCCAGAAAGACAGGTGTCGCTATATAATCCCCATTCACCCCAATCTCCAGAGTCACTGCAAGCTTCATCACCAGTGTTGCAGGAGAGACAAATACCGTTTAGTGCAGTATCATCGTCTGAGATGCCTTGCCCTTGGGATCCTTGCACTTTCTGTTTGAACTTGGTCACAAACCCACCATTTTGGCAGGTTGAGAAGCTTGTAGCCCACGTTCCCCAGTGGCCCTCCCATTTCAAGACAGAACCGGAAGGATACCACAGGACTGAAATACATGAATTGATGGGGAAGTTTACTTGCTAAAAAAGAAACAACTATGGTGCATAGACTGATAGAAAATGTATGAAACTCAAAAATGGCTTTAAAAATGTAAAACTTAAATTTAAAGCCTTTCATTTGGTACATCGTTAATTTCAAAGCTCACACTTTCAATTAAAAAAACGATGTTATAATGACAATTGTTAATTTTACTTTTAGCAGTCGCTCTAACGATAAAATTGAACACAAACTTAGATAATAAATACACTATAAATTTTAATGATACGTATTGACTAACCTTGCGTCGAGCAGATAGGGAAGTACAGAAAAAGCACGAATAGTGTTAACATTTGCTGAAAGTCGACTATAACGTTAATTGAAAGAAACTAAAATATCTTTCTATCCATAAACGGACTTCGAATAATTTGATATACACATATAAGAAGAATGGCGAAATTTTCTAAAACTTTTCAATTTTGAAGAGCAGTATTATATACCAACCAACATATAGGTTGGTAGGTTATGGGCATAATCTTAGCATTTTATTTGTAATTGTATCAATATAATATTGGCTTCAAGGTTTGAGGTTAGCTTGCATCTTGTTCATAAAGTAGAAGTAAATTACGTTAGGGCCATAAAAAGTTCGGGAGCGATTTTAATATATCGATAAACATCTTCTTTCTCCAAAATATGTTTTGTTAACGAAAAACAGTAAATCGAGGACTGCACTTGGCTATTTGGCATCGCTTGGTAACAAAAGACAAACGAACAGTATCTCAATCTGAACAACGGAGACCATGAACTAGTATAGGTGCAGTTTGTAAGTGCACTGCCAGTATAATACTCAGTCATCCTAATGACTATCATGAGTGACCTGATCTAAGTCACCTCGAAGGTACTAGCTAGAAGAATCATACTGCTCACACACAAGGTGCTGACCATTATAGAGGAGACATTGTCATTAGGGTAGACAACTTTAACATCTTTAAACAAGAGTTAGGGGTTTAGGGGTTATCATGGTTTAGGTATTGGCCTCGTCCTCAGCTCGGGTATGTATGAGCTTGAATTAGAGCTCTCACCATCTATTGTTTTGCGCACAGCTCTCTTACAAGCCTTTGTTTTGGACTGGGTAATGTCTGTTCCTGCTTGTTTGCTACAGCCTACATGGCCGCTCTTAAAGAAGCACGCTTACAACTACTACGTGCTACTATATATAAGATTGAAGGCTGTTTAAGGGGGGGGGGGGGGGGGGGTTCACCCTGATTTTTTTGTAAAACTTGGTTTCGAGATAGCAGTTGACCAACAAACTAGACCGGTGACCAAACTTTTGAGGGGGTCCCCGACCCCAACCGCCAAACGGTGCCCGCGGGGCAGCCACGCCCATATTTGGTTCAAATTAGGCCCAATTTAGCCAAATACCCTGAACATGCCCAAAACCCAGATTTTATGTGCTCTACTTGTAGCTAGTGGTCCCCTGAACAAGTATATGAATTTTCATCAAGATTGGGCAAAAAATGACTGAGTTATGAGCCAAAAACCATATGACCATATTTGGGCATACGCACCAAATTTGATCGATTTTGGCCCATAGATTGGTCAAATATCAATATTTTTGAATGAAACTAACTTTATATGAAAGGTAAGCTTATACTACACATTCTCTATGATTATCAGCTCAGTATCTACCTAACTGTGGATTCTGTGTTCAAATAATCACAAAAAATGAACTAAATCGTCCATATCTCAGTTCGCGATATTTGCAAAACTGATTTCGCTCAAAACAATAGAACTCAATAGGGTTTCAATATTTTTACATGAAATTTTCAGAATCAACGTAGAATCGCATTTCTACCTTATCTCTTGTATTGAAATTTTGAGTTAGGCCTTTATAAAAATTTGGCGGCCAAATTCCAAAATTTGCCAGGCATTTTTCAGAATTTGGCCGCCAAATTTTTTAAAAGGCCTAACTCAAAATGTCAATACAAGAGATAAGGTAGAAATGCGATTCTACGTTGATTCTGAAAATTTCATGTAAAAATATTGAAACCCTATTGAGTTCTATTGTTTTGAGCGAAATCAGTTTTGCAAATATCGCGAACTGAGATATGGACGATTTAGTTCATTTTTTGTGATTATTTGAACACAGAATCCACAGTTAGGTAGATACTGAGCTGATAATCATAGAGAATGTGTAGTATAAGCTTACCTTTCATATAAAGTTGGTTTCATTCAAAAATATTGATATTTGACCAATTTATGGGCCAAAATAGATCAAATTTGGTGCGTATGCCCAAATATGGTCATATGGTTTTTGGCTCATAACTCAGTCATTTTTTGCCCAATCTTGATGAAAATTCATATACTTGTTCAGGGGACCACTAGCTACAAGTAGAGCACATAAAATCTGGGTTTTGGGCATGTTCAGGGTATTTGGCTAAATTGGGCCTAATTTGAACCAAATATGGGCGTGGCTGCCCCGCGAGCACCGTTTGGCGGTTGGGGTCGGGGACCCCCTCAAAAGTTTGGTCACCGGTCTTAGTTTGTTGGTCAACTGCTATCTCGAAACCAAGTTTCACAAAAAAATCAGGGTGAACCCCCCCCCCCTTAATCGTAGTTGTGAGCCAGAAGACACATCAAGGTGAGCGCAACGACATTATAATGTGCACAGTCTGTAACTTATGTTATTGTGTATAACTATAAAGCTGTTGTGGGTATCATTATACGGAGGCAAAAAATATCATGAATTACAATTTACGATGCTATATTTAAATGGCTATGTTCACTGTGATGATTACGCCAACACTCAGCATTGTATTTGATAATCTATTTCCTCTGACATTGTTGTAAGATAACTAACAAACTAGCTTACCTGCTGCTCAGCCGTGTAGAATGTAGAATGTAGAATGTAGATGCGACTATAATAAACTGATCTAACTATACCCCTACCCTAGTAAGATGTTAGAAAGATCAGCTATTATAGTCGCGTTCCAAATATAATGAAAACTTACGTATTTTAGAGCAAATCTGGCCTTCGTTTTGGAAAACAATCTGACTGCCTCGACAAATCCCAATAAGGGTCCCACCAATTTGGGAAATATGTTTTCTCTGGCATTTGAAAGTGACGTGTGATCCTTCTGTCACCGGTAGTGGCGGTTCTGGTCCGGTTATTTTCATCATTTCATCGAAATTATCACAGAGTGCTGAAATAGTAGAGTTAGAAGCGAACTAAACGATAATTTATCAAAATCATTTCTTAAAAACTGTTGCAAAATTAAAGCAACTTGTTTGAGTCAAAAAAGAAAAAGTAAAAAACTTCCAAAAACGATACATATTTACATTTGCAGTCGTCTTCCTTGGTTCCTTCGCCTGCAGCTACTCCTCCTGTTTTCTCCGGACATGGGGTACATTTTGTAGTTGTATCTCCTGAACTCCATTTATTATCAGCACAGTTTAAACAACCTGTTTCCTGGTCAAGGTACTGACCACCAGCACACGCTTCTGAAGTGTCCTCTATCAAATTGGGAAACACAAACATTCGCATCATTCGTGATTTATAAATAAGTTTACGAATTAGAGACAGCAACCCTCGTAAGATAAATAAAATAATATAATAACACTCGTTAAATTGAATTAAAATATTGAGTATGATTATACAGAATGATATTTAACGAAAAATTGCTCACTCCATGTGCAGTCATTTTCTTGTTTTCCCTGTCCAGCTGACACACCTTTTCCTTGTGGACAGGCGGTACAAGATGGACTTGTATTTCCAGCAACACTCCACTCATCAGCCGGACAGTTTACACAACCGTTACTCTGATGAAGGAACTGTCCTGCAGCACACGGCTCTGAAAAGAAAAATCAAAATTCATGTACTAATATAAGTAGTTTTGAATTTATATTGCTTAATCAATTTTTTATGTTTTTCTTGTCTCATTCTTTAATAAGTAGGGACATAGATTTCGGAGTATTTAGGGGTCGTTCACATATTACGTAATCAGCCGAGGGGGGGGGGGGGGGGGGGTTTCCAAATGATTATGCTAATGTAATTTTGACACAATAGCTATGAGTAAAACTAAAACTGATTACGGAGGGGGGGGGGGGGTAAATATTGTCCAAAAATTGATAACGTAATAACTAATATGTGAACGACCCCATCAAGGCAAAGTAATGAAAATCTAGACATGACCAAAGTTACTAAAGTGCGTTTTATCAAGTGCGATCTTATCAAGTGCGATTTAACCAAAATCAAAACATCAAAATACTGAACGTACTCCAGGTGCAGTCATTTTCTTCAGTTCCCGCCCCAGCACTCACTTCCTTACCATCTGGACACTTAGTGCAAGATCGTGATAGTACTGTGGTACTGTAGTGGTCAGCTTCACAGGGCAGGCACTCGAACTCACCCGATAGATATTGACCTCGACTACAATCTGAAGAAAAATCATTGAATACACGTATTGACGTAGTAATGTTTTACAAAAAAAGCTACTATGTATATGATAAGTGATAACTTTATATAACTATTTTAAAGTTATTTTGATTATTCACATTATACACATTTCAAGGAATAGTTTAACTAGAAATTCCTTAAACTTAGAGATTATCAAAATTTGAAAGAAAGTACAAGACGGCAACACAAAGTGTATGTGCAGGCAAAATACTCGTATTATACTTATAGTAAGCTTATTAAGCTTCTTATTGTAATGTTTAAGTTCTTAACAGAACTTTATCCATTAAGGTATCAGTTAATAAATAAGTAACTGTAATTGGCACGTATGATTCATGATTGTTCTAAGACTAAACTATAAAATACGTACGCTATTTTCCAATTATTACTAAAGAATCCAACCCACTTACCGTCGACTAGTTTCACTGAGGAGACTTTTTTGTTAAAGTCGTAACCAATAAAACGCCATTTAGCAGGTCCAGCGGCAATAAACAAAAACGTTTCAAAGTCTGGTTTATCGAAAAACTTCCATACTTCGTTACCGTCTATTTTGAACGCGGACACATCGTCAAAGTTATACTCTGCTTGATTTAGATCCGCAATTGACCCACTGATCTCCAAATTACCAGTCTCTGAAGGACCCCAGCTTCTACTCAATGTTAGTGTGCCTGAGCAACGTGAAATTAACATAATTAGTCTCCGAAGTAGGAATGTGTCATCAATAATGTCATTTACTTCTCGTATAAATCCTTTAAATTAATACCATGAAAACCACGGATTAAGTACGTTTACATTTTATGTTATTACATTCTTATGATCGCCACAGTGTCATCTCATTCTCAACACTAACAGGTGCAATAACAATGTTGAACTTACCACAGACAGACAAAGAACCGACTTGCAGGAACACCAATAATTGAAACATTGACAAGATTAGTTTCATGTCTCAATTACTCTAATTCTATAAGAATTAATTATTAAAGGTTAAATACAAATGTGTGGCTTTTACTAATTCACTCGCCAGTGGCAGTGCGCTATTGAGTTTTTTTACGGTTTTGCAACCCAACGAAACGCCAACTCCGAAGCTAAACATAATCACTGCATGACAGATAAGCTATGAAATAAAATGATAGTGCTGATGAATATTGTTGTGATAAAAATTTTCAGAATAGTTATTACTATATTAGTTAAGGCAATCCAAAAAATTGGAGGACTTCGCCGCTTCGACGCGCCGCGCGAACTAGCATTCTTGCTTCGCAGAGCAACGATCTCGATGGGTTGACATCGTCAACCAATCCAAAAAACTAATGGTGCTGAAAAACTACAGATGGAGAAGCAAAACATAAGATAAAGCAAAAATCACGATGTTCTCTTAGCAGTTTTCACTATTTAACTTTCAGTTTCACATCTCAGTCGCGTTTTTCTCGAACTTGAAGGTAAAGCATAAAGGCTCAGATCTACTTCTAGAGAGCTGGAGGAAATACTTATACTACTACTAGTACTGTCAGTCAGAGGCTCTCACCAACAGTAGTTATATTTCCTGGCTCATTTAGAGGGCTCTTATTTTGTAATTCTCACGCAGTACAGGCAATTACGGCTTCTACTAATTGAAATTCGCTCGCCCAAAAATTTCACGTGACTTTGTTTTTTTTGGTTTTGCAGCCGTACAAAATGGTGTTACATAAACCCTAATCCCAACCCTAACCATAACCCCGAAGCTATCCATAATCTTAACCACAACCCTAACCCTAACCCGAGCCCTAAATAATCGAATTCACGTTTTACTAGCCTGTCACGTGACCAAAACGGTATTTTGCCCATAACTCTCCAGGGAAGCATTATAACCCTACGAGTACGTCATGGGGGGTGATTCGGAACCAGCGTCCAAAAATACACCGATCACTTTCATGCCTAAAGGGCCTTTTCACAAGAATTTTCTTAAAATTTGGGCGAGCGATTTAGTAGGAGCGCATTTGGCGAGTGAGAGTTCAACTTGAACTATAAGCTGATGACGATGTTATTGGTGCCTGGTTTAACGTCAGAGAGCGCACTACTGGTTTTGTTCGCCGGGTTCATGGGAATATGAGAGTTAATGATAAAGGAAGCTACAGAATTAACTGCCCAGCCCAGGTAGAAACATTATATTATTGCGATGATCTTCACCACCAGATAAAAATATAATCTCTTATTCTTAAAAACACTGTTTAAAAGTCAAGAAAGCAGACGACAACGAATTAGACTTAGAGCTTAGTCCGCACGATGCACTATATAAATATTCTAAGTGTCCAGTAGTGAAAAAAAGAAGATGTTCACTTAACGTTTCAGGATCGTAACTCGTATGTAATTAAATAAGAGGCAACTCCCATGATAATAGGTAGTGCGCCATCGACAGTGAGCCGCGCGTGCCGACTCTAGGATGGTTTTTTAGCGCTAATTTCGGCCAGCACAATTTTCTTCAAACAAATAGATATTGAGTATCTTTCCCGACCTCTAATTGCAACAAAAATTGGTAAGCTTACTCATAGACTTACAAGGAAAGTGTCCGAAAAATTTAAAGCATATCCAACCATCAGACATTATGTTACAGCTAAAAGCAGCGTATTTTGCCCCATTTTGATCACTATATCAACTCCGATATCCACCAAATTTTTCGGACAGTTGTAAAAGCCCTATTGGAAGGTCGTCGCCAATTTCCAGAATGATCTCATTTAAGGAACTGGAGATAAATCCGAATAATACGACAAAAATGGCCAAATTTGGTCAAATTACGCGACTTTTACAACTACTTTTGCTCCAAAAGCCGCGCACCATCAAATATGGCACCTAGGTGAAACTCACTGATCTTTCCAAAAAGGTATGACAAATTTGGTATTGTGAAAATTCTCACAGTCTCTAGAAAACAGAGGTACAAAAATTTTTAAAATCCGAGCAAGTTTATTTTTATCGTGCACCCCCTAATGATAATGGCTTAAATATTACTGGACAAGTCCACTCCTTTGCAAACTCTGCATAAATCAGTAGATTTATTAAACGAGGAAAACAGCCGGTAATACTTTAAATACCCAGACAAGTTCGGGAACGGAATTGGACTAACTTTCAAAATTTATTGATATAATTATAATTTTCCTCCTCTTCTGATTATTGAACAACACGGGGGTGAAAACTACGGTGGAGGACGAAACGTACTTCGAAATTGTCCCAAAGTGGTGGACACTGGACAGCCTCGTGCAATCATGTAAAACTCCTTTGTAAGCGACAATATATTGCTAATTGCTTGCTTGTGCTAGACAGATTAAATCCTAACTCATTAATAGATCATGAGCCACTGAGACAATGCTTGAAGTTGAAGGCATGAACCTTGCATGCCATGAAGTCTAATATCTGCGAGCGGTTAGCTTTAAGTTTAACACTAGATTTACATTATTCATGATTCCTCTGTTGCTGGTCTCAGAGTTGCATAAATTTACCCCCCCCCCCCCACGGCGGCGTGCAGCACTGTATAATTGCACTGCGAGCAATTAGCTTTAAGTTTAACACTATTTACATTATTCATGATTCCTCTGAAATGACCCTTGTAGAGGAGGGAGAGGGCCCATGCCCTTCAGAACAAGAATAGATACCAACCAATGACCCACGTCCTTTAACACGTACAACTACAATATAAATGATCTTAGGGGGGGGGGGGGGGGGGGGGGGGGGGCCAATGGCATAAAATGGCATAAAATGGAGACTTTTTCTATGGAGAAAATGGAAAAACCCATGAGTAATTCTCCATTTTCTCCATTTTATGCCATGAATTTTGTCTTCGAAATTTCATCTTTAACACCATTTAACACCTAAATTGGACATCCTAACATGTTTATTTACGCTTACTAGGGGCGTAACAAGCTTACGAAAGCTCATAGTAGGCTACTAGATGCTTATACTAGGTTAGTAGAGGCACACTTCAGGCAAACTCATAATTACTCAAGCCTAGTGTAAAGTTATTTCTACAGGCTACAGCAGGAGTGAGTAATAGGGGAGAGTAATAGGCACTGAGAAGTGAGACCTACATCCTCGACAGTCGAAACAAGCTCGCACTGCAAAGGTGAGGCCTGCCTTCCGAGATCGCATTACCAGGGGGAAGCCTCGAATCCAAATTTGTGTATCGAGGGGTAGGTGCAGACTTCGATAAACCAAAAACCAAAAAAATATTTTCGGCTAATAATGAAGAGGGTAGCATGAAACGTGGAGAAAATTGGTTTTTAGAAAAACTTTGAAAAATGTTGACACTTAGAAATTTTTCGGCCCGAGTCATTCTCGATACGTACCTCTCGTATCGAGAGCTCCCGATTCCGAGCTCGTGTTGCAAAGGGGAGGCCTGCCTTCCGAGATCGCATTACCAGGGGGAAGCCTCGAGTCCAAAATTGTGTACCGAGAGGTAATTTTCTAAGTCAATATTTTTCAAAGTTTTTCTTAAAAACACTTTTCTCCACGTTTCATGCTACCTTGTTCATTATAAGCCGAAAATATTTTGTCGGTCAAATTTTTCAAATTTTTTCTGAAAACCGCTTTTTTCCACGTTTCATGACCGGGTAGCACTACCCTGTTCATTATTATTCGGTCAAATTTTTCAAATTTTTTCTGAAAACCGCTTTTCTCCACGTTTCATGACCGGGTAGCACTACCCTGTTCATTATTTGCCGAAAATATTTTTTCGGTTTTTCGAAGTCCACACCTTCCCCTCGATACACAATTTTGGACTCGAGGTAATGCGATCTCGGAAGGCAGGCCTCCCCTTTGCAACACGAGCTCGGAATCGGGAGCTCTCGATACGGGAGGTACGTATCGTAAATGACTCGGACCGAACATTTTCTAAGTCAACATTTTTCAAAGTTTTTCTGAAAACCAATTTTCTCCATGTTTCATGATACTCTGTTCATTATTGGCCGAAAATATCTTTTTTAAAAATAATTTTTCTCGAAATTCTAAATTTTTCAGGTTTTCAATGGCATAAAATGGCATAAAATGGAGACTATTTCTATGGAGAAAATGGAAAAACCTATGAGTAATTCTCCATTTTCTCCATTTATGCCATTGGCCCCCCCCCCCCCCCGATCTTAGAGAGAAGCTAGCCGTGACTTTCGACATAAGGAGAATATATAAAATCGCAGTCTAAGCTACACATTTTAAATTCGATAGGTTTTGCTTTTTCTTTTTCTTCATTTGTATTTAAGAAACAAATTAGATCTCTTTTATCCCTGAAGATGAGCATAGTTCTGACTTCTGAAACAGTTATTTGTACTCTCTAGTAGGGGGGGATGCAACGACAATTAATGTCAATTAATGTCAATTAATGTCAATTAATGTCAATTAATGTCAATTAATGTCAATTAATGTCAATGTCAGTTTTGCAAAATTTTGGAATACTGACATTAATTGACACGATATTTTTCGACCAGAGATTATGTAGTTCTACCATATTTTTAGCACTTAAGTTTATATCATCAATTTATTCACTACTATCACATATGGAAATGTGAAATGTGAAAAATTCAGATCATTAAACAATAAAACTAAAACAATACGGTTTTCCAGAATTTAATTTTCTTAAATGGGCTTGGCCATCCAAGGGCGTGGTTCTTAACATCATCAGAACTTAAAACCCACATTAAACGAAATGCCTTCATGACATTTATATTTGAATAACGAATCTTAAACAGCTAAAATTACTCCTTCATACTAAAAAAGCCGATTCTAGATATTTTACCTGTATAAGAAACCAATAAAATATAGGCGTGGCCGGTGGGGACCGAAGATGGAAGAGTTGGAAGCTGAAATTTTGTTTTGTGGTCTTTGAACCTAAGGATCAACAGATAAGAACATACTCATAATTATTCAAGGACATTTTGTTTTTTTGAACCGGTCTTACATAGACGTGAATATCTTGAATATTTATATCGAATAATGATAATCTCAAATTTCAAGACAAATTAATGTCAATTAATGTCAATTAATGTCAATTAATGTCAATGTCAGTTTGGGGTTTTTATGGAATACTGACATTAATTGACGTTGCATCCCCCCCCCCCTCTAGTATTGCCACGGATAATTCCGCGGATAATTTACAATATTTTGTTAGAACGGGATAATCGAAATAGCTGTTTTAATCGCGAGCCAACCCCTACTCCCTGGACTTAAATAATCAATATACACCGACGAAAGTACAAAGTAATACATACTTATTTGGTGAGGGCTAAAACAATCATCAATGTAATGCGGCAAAGCAGCCAAAACAACAATATAAATAAACATCACTATAAATTTTCAATAGTAAGTTGTCCGTTCTTGCGGGGATTCTTACAGTTTTCGTTAATTTATCTATTAATAGCTGACATATTCAGATAGCAACCCTCAGCATAACAATAAGTAATCACCACAAGAAACGAACCAACCAAAATCTTCTAAAATTAGTTTAATATTTTGGGACATATTTGTTATCTTAAAGTGGCTCCAGTAAGCCAGCTAATAACGGTTAACAAACTTGTATAAATATTTAATACAAAAATACAAACCAATTAAAATAGCTACCTAAAAGAAAAAAAAATATGAATTCTTGGAATTCACTATTGAATACTTCTAGTTGGAAATGTTCTATTGGAGCTGGGAATGCTGTTACTATCAGACGATATACAATTTTTGCATATGCTAAGAGTGGAAAGGTTTAAGTAAAAGATTTCACTGTATATATCATTTCACAGTAGGACATATTCTTCTTGACTCTTATCAATTTGTACTTTAATGTTGATGATTTTACAAATATCCTGCCTTATACACAGTACACACGTGCAAGAAGATCCTTTTGAGTTTCAGATATATTCAAAAGCAATGTCCTGAATAACAGACATAACAGTCAGAGATTTTAATGAATGAACGGTTGATGACTACTTTTTTAATCACAAAAGCTTTATGCAACTAACAAAAATCAAAGTTCAAAATAAATAAAACTCTCAAATATTTCTTATTTTTAAAATCACCGACAACGATCTAACCCGTTATCGCATGGTAAAATTTTCTCAAAATGAGCGCCTACTAGCGTGCAATACATCGAAATTCAATAGTGTTCATGAAAAAAGGGGAGGTTTTAACGTTCGGGGATTCTCATTCAGGCTGATAAGACAAGAGTCACGTCACACAAACGTCACGTCACGTGATTGTTGTCTGCTGAGTGCACTATGGTTCCGTTTACTCTGTACAAAATATACATGACTCCATTTTGACATCAATCAGGTCGCTTATCTTTGCTATCCACTGATCTCGCACGCTGTATCAATTTAACCTAGATAAATCCGCAATTTATGCACGTGGGCGGGCAGGAGTCTGCTACGTCATGATGACGTCACAACACATGACTTGATCAGACGTCCGCGTCGCTTACTCCTCCGTTCAGGTTATAAATGTTGGCTGGTTGGGCGGTGTTTGGAGCGGCCTCACATCGCATGTACATATCTGACTCCTGGGAAGAAATAACAGGTGAGCTTCATATTGTAATTTCTAAACTTATTTTTCATTTTTCTGGTGGTATTTAGCTTATTATTGTATTTAATTAAGTAGATTTCGGGAGAGCTTTCTCACGTCAGATATCCTCAGATATATCTAACAATGACATCCAAAAACTCAATCATAGAGTAAAACAGAAATTATAGCCATAGGAGCATAATGATATGGCTATTAACTATAGACGATAAAAGAAGGCTGGAATCAATTATAAAATTGTGTATTTCACTGCACCTCACCAGAGATTTCAATCATCGCCGAAAAAAGGCCACTGGCCCTCTCAAATATTTGATCAAAACAATAAACAGGGATGTAATAAAAGGGACCAATCAAGGGAGTGGAAATATCACACTTGTAACTCACACTTTCTCACACGATTGGCAGCTCACTGAAGTCACTATTAAGTACGCTCGAGGACTGCGAAATTATATTCTGTAAATTTTATCAAAAATATCGAATTGATGGATAAAGTAAGGAATAATAAAAGGGTCAGGATAGTTTCGCCATTCTCATTTCGAATTATCTTCGATAATTTATGTCAAATTTCGGTGTTGCCAGCTTTCAAATTCAATTATCGAACTTCAGAGTTGACGAGCACGTATCCTGAATCCTGATACACAGTATGTATTTGGAAATATATTACAAATCTTTCCACTTCCCAATTTCCACACTTACAATGCTGGTATTATCATCAGGTCTGTGGTTGTTCTCTGCAGCTATTGGAGGCTGAGGTGGTTTAGCTCTATTGTTGGGATTGAGGAATGCGCTACTGTCGGGGGGCGATCGTGACATACCTGGGATGGAATGCGTCGTCATGGTATCGTAATTTAACACAAAAACTCGGTCATGTTCCCATACTTATGTAATGTTATATGTATTGAATATCGTTGGAAGTTTTAAAAGTTTGAACTTCAGAAAAGAAATATTCAACAATATTTGGAGAATACATTTATTTGGTGGCACTGGCATTTACATTTTTCATCTTAATAAATCGATTTTTATCGTGATGACGACACAAATGCATTATACATGGTAATAATAAATCTGAAGAATCAGATATTTTAAATCACAGACAAGTGAGGTATCACGTGATTAAACACGTGACACTTGTTTAGTAACCAGCGGGAGAATGTGCTGTAGAGGAAAGTTTAAAAAAGAAAGAATTTAACATTTTATTGACAAAAATCAAATTAGAAACAAAAGTAGTAGCACATGCTTAAGAAGCGATAAGTTGCTGAATCAAGTTAGATTTCAATTCATATTTTCAAATCCCGCCCCTAAGAAGTCAGAGAATGCTATGTATAAAAAGCCCTGAAAAGCTGCTAAATTGCTTGCGTAGGAAGATAACTTTGTGGGCCACCTAGGTGCAGCATATCTTTAAAAGAAAAGAATAGAAGAAAATGAAAGGGAGATGACTTTGCCTTGGAGTTGAATCTAACTTAACTCAGCAACAGATGTTGCAGGAGTTGGAGCCAGGAGCAGAGAATGCTGACACGTGACTACTTTAGACCACTTAAAAACAACACAGGTAGTCAATAGTCACGTGTGAGATTCACAGCCCTGGTACCCCAACACACAAACAACATCACCCGCAGAGCGCCGCGAATAATCAAGAAGGTAAGTTACCCATGCGTGCAACATCCATGAGGTCGTCCTCAAAATACCCACTGTTTCTAGGGGAGAAATCCTCCTCTAAATACTTCTCCACATCAGAACCCTCTTCGCTCTCTGAGCCTGACACGGACACATTGTCAGTGCTACCTCGACCTGAGGATACACCCTATATTACATTACAGAGGTTGGTTTAGGTGTGGAAATCATGTGATCAGGATGGGTTCGAGCATTTTAATACAGGCTGGAGAACTAAAAACATGTCAGTGGAGTAAGTCTATTATTTCTTACATGATGTTGTGAAGCAATTTGGGTTAAAATATAAGGTCGGTTTAGTAGGTTTAGAAATAACAGTTATATAGTTCACAAACACGCCTCATCACAATCACAAAATGCTCCTTCACTAACTAAACTAATTACCACCCACTACCCCAGACAAAACACCCACAGAAAAGTCACGGATATCACCCTCACCTGAGTCCTTACCAAAGGAGGATAAAAGTGACGTATCTGACTCTCCGCCTCCTCTCGTTTTCTTTCTCAACTGCTGATCACGCCATTCTTTTACCTGACGGGTATAATTAATTATTATTATTAATTTAACGGGTGATACTCGTAAAATATTTGTTTCAAATATTAGACCGTCGACGAGTCCAACTTGGCGCGCGTCTTGGTAGGTTATAAACCTACAATTATTAATTTATATATATAATACTCTATTAAAACGGAATAATATTTTGGGGCAAGTCTAAGCTCCAATATGCGTACAATCGTGTAACGGGCACTTACATTCGAATACAGTCTAGAAACGGAATAATATTTACAAGTAAATCTAAGCTTCAAGACGGTATAATTGCTCGGTTTTTCCAGTACAGATGATAAGAGAAGAAATATCGCAGAATATTCTCAACTCACAGTTATATTTCCGTATACTTTAGGTTTAATTGCGTTAGGATCATGCTCCTTTGCTTTCGGAGGAACCTTCGCGACCGGGATCTCTCGACCTGCTGAAAAATAAAGGATTAGTAATTGGAAACTAGACCCATTAGTCTGAGCAAACATTGCATATCATAGTCGCTGAAGCAAGAGGTTGATGTCTGCTGTAAGAAGTAAACACGAAGTAACTACTTACGTCCATCATTGTGCGTAGGATTAACAACTTTGTAACCGTCTCTGTTATGTGGTATACTGTAGGTAACACTAGGTATAGTGCTGGCTAGATCGTCTATTGAACTGGAATGTTGGGATTGTGTCAAGTTCCATGGTACTCGGCAGTGAAGGACGAGCAAGAATTTAGAAGCTGTTCACATGAACTATACGATGAATATCTGAAATCAGAAATGTAATGAAGTTCACCTGTTTTGACTCATGGAGTATTGGCGGCTATCCATGCTTATATTACTGGGACAGTAATTCTGTGGCGGCATCCTGTTATCAATGTACGAGTTCTGAAATAAGGTCAAATTAATGTAAAGCGGAAAGGACCGGTTCACTTGAGTTTTCCTGTATTTTCGGTATTTTCTTTATCTAGCCGATAATCTAGCTGCGCGCGCGCGCGCGATCCACATGTAAAAGCAGAAAAGTCCTACTTTAATCTTCTAAATGTATACCGCGTGTGCCGCCAATTTACAAAACTGGATCCACTTGTCCCACATGCCGGTTATTAAAATCTGCCTCTCCATTTTATTCCATCACAATCAAATTAAGGAGCAATTCTAATTCTACTGAAGCGTCAGAATTGGGACACAGTGCACCATATTTAGCCACAGTCAAACATGCGCAGCACTAGCAAACATGACCTAAACCATGCGTCTCACCTGATCAGTTTATGAGTGTGTAATTCCGAGGAAGGTATGGATATCTTTAATATGTACATTTTACATTTTCAAATAGATTCATGCATGTCAAAATTTGAACGCAAGCGTTGCAAATTTGTGCATGTTTCATAAGCGCCTACATTGATTGCACAGCTTGTAATGCAAATTGAAATCTTAAGTCCAGTCATTTATTGCAGCGTGATGAGTACCGAAATGGGTTACTTAAAAGTTAACTTATTCAAACTCAAGTAAGATTCCTCAGTAAGTTTACTGTGTCATTTGTTTAAATATCTTAAATGACTCTAGTCTAAAGGTCTAAGGAGCACAACAGTGTCTTCTTCATCAATATTTACGTATCAAGATCTTCAACAGCTACTCTAAAAGTAATAAACCAGCCAACATTTACCTAACACAAGAATTCAGTAATTCAATAATATTCCCAGAATATTATATATTCTGAAGAATATAACTGGACAGATTCCACCACTGGTTAAAGCAAGTGAAGACCAATGTTGACCGTGAGTCAATTCCCTGGGGATGCCCATAACATTGAGTGCTCAATAATAATCACACAGATGTGAGAGGTTAGCTGACAGTAAGCTTCAACCCCGTTATATATACGTGGTGCGCACGTGGTATTTACGTATCCCTTGGCTTTATTATGCTGCATTTTAAACTTTTAAGGGCTCAATTGCGACATTAAGTTAACTATTTTATTTTAAAACCTTCAATTCCCAACGGAAATAAGAACATGATTCACTGAATACTGTTGACTCCAATAATCCTGCATTCGGCTATTTTCAACCAAAGCACCATAATACTATTACAGCGGCGTGAATTGCATTATTTATCAAATTATGTTCATATTAATACGAAATATGTACAAACAGCATGCCTTCCAGGAGAATTCATGGCAACATTCCGGATTTTTGAAAGATGGTGTCTGAACATTTGTCGTTAATATTTGGCGAATACCAAGATACAAATCTATTTGAGTACTTCATCATTACGTAGATTTGAAGGCTAATGATCGAATATTCCAAAAATCTAACATTATTTGTCATTACATTCAAAGTAGGGTAAATTTACATGATAATCATATTTCAGATCATTATTTTCAGCTTTATCACAATCTGGTTCCTTCATCACTGCTGATCATAGCAAATCAGTAGGTTTATCAATATTCAATATCAGTCCACTGGTATACCGGTGTACTGGTACATTTGTATACTGCACTGGTGCACTGGTCTACCAGTATACTGGTAAACTAGCATACCAGCATATTGGTATACCAACATACTGGTTAACCGTTACCGAATCAGGGTTGCACTTGCTAAGAGGAAGGACTGTTCACTTTTGTAATCTCATTAAATTACCCAACGGACGAACCCTTCTAATTTCTGGCATGCCCGAGCATGTACATTGTACACCCAGTAACCCATTGGTTACTACTGATTGGTACAGTAGGTACAGTGTACACCTGTGACTTTAATCAGGCCCGCGTGTAACCTTTGGTTACCTTATCAGGCCCACGTGTGGACTGTTAACGGTTTAGCGATACCACCAACTTATTGTCTGAGTACTTAAATCTCAACTTAAGTAATTACATTTTCCTCAGATAAACTGGACACCATGGGGCCCCCGTTAAATCCTTAATATTACTCATGTTATTTAGGAAAATAATTTAGATTGCAGTAAATGAACAGTCCATCTCCCAAAACAACGAACCACTGACCCCAAATCACCACAATACTGATCAGTTGTTTACATTCCAGCCAACATTCCACGCAGTTTCAGTACCGAAATGTCCGGAATGTCGCAGTACTCAGGACACCCTGGCCCTCCTTCTCTGTCCTCGGGTGTAAAGTTGCCGGGGGTAAAGTGTCCGTTCTCGGGGGTAAAGTTGCGGTGTATTTGCGGAGAGTTGAAGAGTGAAGGGTAGTCCGGTGGAGGTAAACCTCGTGTCAGGGAGCTTCCTCTGGAATCCTTGGAATGTGGTGTTCAATGATTGGCCGGATAGTTTCACTTTCCGGATAGTTTCACTTTCACTTTCTAGTTTCAGTTCTCTTAGTTGTTTTTGTCCAAGTCAAGAATTGGTCTGTTTCTATATAGCGTTACAGAATAGTAAGATATATGAGTCCAATCCAATATTAATTATCATGATTCCGATATCAAATTGGATTTAATAATATGATGATGGACAGTAATGCATTGTTTGGAAATGATTTGTCAACCTGTGCGTGTCTGTCCACTGTCCAGATATCCTTCGTTACAAAATTATACCAAGTTTAGAAACTTTTGTCAGAATTTTCTAGAATTTTAAAATTAGAATAACCTGCTCATTAGCAGACTAACGAACGTGTAAATACGTTAATTTTAAACAAAAAGACCTTAGATTTCAATTGACAGGCGGTAAAAACGTCAAATGTCACACCTCTTATTTGCTGGCGATAAATAATTTCGAGCCAGAATTTCAAGAAAGTCATGGCACACCCGTGGGTTATAGTGCCAAATTTTAATTAGAATTGGTGAGCGACCAATTATTATTGGTTTGAGACCAATAATTGGTTATCAGTCATAAGTTGGGAAACATTTGTAATGCAGAGAAGTGCAGGAGAAATTCCACCTTTGACCACATCTACCGCCCAAAGCAGATGCCCAAATTAAGATGTAGGTTGATGTCATGGTATTTTAATCACTCATCTGCCAATTTCTTGTACGTAGCTACCATTTGATTTGGTCATCTGTGCCTGCTACTCCAGTGTAAAGTGACTTTTGCGGAAGACACTATTTTATGTCATTTAAAAGACACACAGCACCATAACAACTATTTAACTCTCAATATTAACCTGTCTGTATTAACAATTTTACACCATGTTTATACTTTCTACAGAGATAATCAGATGATAAGGTACATTAAAAAACAGCTGCAAGCTGAATCAAATCACTATTAGTATTTATGAGAACTTTTCATTTATTATCTTTTTACGCACGTGACAACACGGGTCAAAACATTTAACAAGTATTTTATTTGACAAGGAACTGTTTTACCCACCCAGGACGTATGGTAGCGAAGTTCCTGACATTATAATTCTTTAACTTTAAATACTTTAAATGGTTTAAATACTTTAATTTTAGAATGTAAATTGAACCTGGTAAAAGCAACAGCTATCTTTTTAGGTTTATACAATATCTTGTGAGTCTGGTACCCCAAACCAAATACCGAAGCACAATTACGACGATAGAATGAATCAAACTCCCTTAAATGCTGCTCCCACAAAGTAATTGACACGACATAATTAGTAAAAAGGGCTGCACAGCACAATTAAAACACAGCTGCTAATTAGCGCTTGAAAGAAAGACAACTAGACGGTCAGTGCTGATTGAAATACGCAAAACACGCTGAGAACAGCACGTGATAACCACAAAAAGCGCTTGTTGATTGCGCTGGAGAGCTGGGCGACCTACCAAGCTACGCTGGCTGCCGTGTCTGGAGGTGACGCGCACTGCACCTGCCGTGTTCACGTCGTTCCTACTGTTGTTGTAGGAACTTCCACCCTACGAGGGGGCGAGGTTTACACACCAATACTTAGTAGGTTTTTAGGTGGAATCTAGCGTTTTGGGTGAGCTCTGATATCTGGTTATTTATTTTCCGTCTTTCCGTGTAAAGACTCTGTCTCGAGGAATCTCAATGGCCATGATTCGTAATGCATACCTACTTTCTTACGACTTTAGTTTAAAACTTAATTATTAAACACAACGAAACTCTGGAGCATGGCAAAAAATTAGGGCACCCGACTCGGACTTACAAGGCACAACTACCCCAGAAACTTCACAGGAAATATAGTCCTGACTCTGGGACTACTAAAGCATGGAGTTTTAAAGAAAACTCTGTGATTTTAAAAACCAATCCGTGCTCCACCGTTCTCACAGGGCTCTGAATTCAGATTTCTTGTGCAAATAAACTCAAATTTAAATTATCACGTGTAACTCTCTTTGTAATGCCGACAACTTTAGTGCTCCGAACTCGTGCAAGGAAACTAAAAACATGGTAACCATGACTATGTGCACGAGTGTGTGTTTGTGCTGCTCAGTACGTTGCTATGGAAACCAAACCACATGGGACTGATACAATCTCCCTTGACACTTAGTGGTCACGAGATGCTCTCCTTATCTCTCACATGGTTATCTCTCCTCTTATCTCTCTTATCTCCGCTTATCTCCTTGAAATCTCTGTTGATATCCCTGACAAGGGTGATCATGTCTCCGCTGTTGGGACGACTAGTCAGACTCCGCACACTGTTACTCAGAGAGTTGGAACTTTTAAGAGAGCGGTTGATACCGCTGGTGACAGTCTGGGGGGTTTGCTGCAGGAAGAGAAGGGTACTCAAAATAGGGCTGTAACAGGAAACTGGGGGTGAGTTAGAAAGAAGACATGGTCACAGTTTTAGTTTAAAGTTAGAGGTAGAACACTACAACAGACTGGACTATATTAATCTTTATTCTAGTCTACTCTAGTAATACTAGAGTAGACTAGAATATACTACAGTAAGACTAAACAGACTAGATATTACAATGCATTGAAGGGACGTGTAGTATACAGTTAGCAGAATTAGGAAATGATAAACTGA